TCCAAGATACACATACTACACGATCTCATCAGTATGGTCTCTCACATAGCTATTCTTTCATCAGATATTTTCTGTGCTCCCCAAAATGTCAGGTACTATGTTAGATACTGAAGGGACAGAGAAAATAAGGACCTTTAGTGGCCTGTGTGTAATTCACTAGCTGTGGAAAAGTAAGGTTCCTATAGGAATTCCTGAGTAGGAACATCAAAAGGGGTAAAGGGAGCAGGAGTGCATAAAACACACATACATAAGCACAGTTATGAAGCACATGAAATCTTTCAGAAAACCAGGCTATTTTTAAGGCTGCTCAACATATAGGAAATAGTAACTAGCACAGGATGGCAAAACAAAACCCTGTGTGTTAACTCAAATGTCTGAATTTTTTCAGAAGTGCAATGAACAGTTCTTGACTGAGTCAAAACAGAGTTCAACTATAAGTAAGTGTGGATTTTCAGAAAGTTAACTCTGGGGGCTTCATGGGGGAGAGACTGCAAGGTATTACAACTGGAAGTAGGGAGACCCAGCAGTAATCCAGATAACAAGGGCTCTGGGCTGTCAGGTTGTGTGTAGAGGAGGCCCATGGGGCTGAAGGTGATGCCAGGTCTGCTTAGGAAGAAGCTGAGTTGCCTGTCACATCACTGGACTACTATGTGCCACCTCCCACCCCAGAGTCATATTCCCTCCCTCTTCTGCACTTTCACTCTCTTATCCCATCTGCAACACTCTTCTTGCCCTACCTGTCCAAAATAAGGAAGTGATTGAAGTATTACCTTTCCTAAGAAACTGTCCTTAAATTACAGTCTCTCAATAACCTTTCCATTTCTAAGGGATATAATAAATATCCACTTAATAACTTGGCAGAATTACATACTGAAAATCAGTTCATGTACGTGGAAAAGATGCATCCCTCTGATTAACTGACTGCTTCTTTGTACCTGGGATACTGCTGTGTAATTATTTGATTTTCTTTTATATCTACCACAAACTTCTTAAACATTGTAGGTCAGCAGATGTTTGATAAGAGATAAGCAACCTTTACAAGCAAAGAACTTTTATCAGCTTAGTTATTACTTTAGATCAATTTCTTGAACTCTTTGTCTTTCTCCACAGGTCATTAATAACATTTTATACAGCATCAACTAGTTTTACACCATCTAAAACTCAACAGAACAAAGACGTAATTTCATTTTACCTCCAAGATCTACCATCTCAGAAAAAAACAAAAACTGTGTGACATCCAATTCTTTCTTTCCATCCTCAAATCAAATTCTAACTGCTTTATGGATTCTAACTGGTTCTCAGTCTTAAAACTGAAGGAAGAATCTCCCATTTTTACCCCTTTATTTCTGATGCTAAAATGTCTACATTTCTCCTTGAACCCTTGGAGTTCCCACAAAATAAAGACATGTACAAAGAACACTATATAACCCATTCTTTAAGGAGATCCAATGGGAAATTATTCAATTCCAATACATTTGTAATTGATGAGCACTGAGGAGACCCAGTAGAACAGAACATTGTTTTGACATGGGATAATTTATTTGCATGTAAACTGTACAATACATAGAGGATGATAGTGCTTATATTGTTTAATTTCTTTTTATGATCTAGCACGTTGTGACAGACAGGAATACTCATAATTAATAAATATGTAATGTGTAAGATACAAACATAATTGTCTCATATCAGTACCTACCAAATGCTAGGGCTTTTAAAGATCGAATATTACTCTGTTTGCCTTTCAAGTTATTTATTCACAGTGAAAACCTGCTAACACTTTCAGGAAATGAAGACTTTCAGTTAAATGAAAAATAAGCTTTTTCATTTAACTTCAAAAGCAAAGAATAAGTTAAAAACTGGGTGGAAACCAGGTAAACATGCTACACACCAACCTTTAACTTAATGTAACATTTTTAGAGAAAATAATCCATATTTAGTTATTTACATATTATACAGTGTAAAAGAGTTTAAACAATAGTTCAAATACTAAAGGATAAAAAAATTAAAGTCCCATTTTAGTTTGATGGCATACTTCTTTAGAAAATGCAGATTTTTCAAGGCATATTACTTGAACTTAAAATAGTCAGCAAGTGCTGGATGAGGTAGCATATGCCTGTAGTCCCAGCTACTTGGGGTGAGGGGAGGCTGAGGCAGGAAGATGCCAGAAGTTTGAGGCTAACCTAGGCAACATAGCAAGTCCCCATCTCAAAAATTATCATTGCAATCTAAAGGATATAGTATTATTTTTAATTCCATTAAACTATCAATAAATGCATTCAAGTAGCTATATTCCTTTCTTTTCACATATGCCAACTGTATTTACTTTCAAGCATCAGAAAACATGACAGCTGTCAAGTCCTTAGTTGGAAAAAGGCTTTAAGAGTCATGTGCTTCTTCTAGGGATAAAGAATACTACAGGGACAGAGTAATATTCAAATTTCATTCAATAAATTCCAGTGAACTTCAATTTGTGAGAACAGGTGCCTAAGCACACACCTGAAGGAAAAACTAGAGGAGGCTTTCCAACTCTGCTGCAGCTGAGCTGCAGTTCTGGGATTCTTGCAATGTGACGACAGAACAAGGCAAGCAACATGGATGGACTGGTAAATCTTATGTTTATCCTTCATACAGAGCAAACTAGCTTAAACTCTCTTCTTTCATTCTGCAGTGGTAATTTACAGAGATACAGAGCTGCCATCTAGTGACTAAGAAGAAAAAACAAGCCCCTTTGCATGAAAATTGTAAGCTTTTTGTTTCTTTCAAGTAATAAAACACTGAAATTAACACAATTTAGCACATCAAAGTTACAGTAAAACCTTGAAAGCCAGAGATATAGGTGACCTAATACACCTATATGCCTCTCTAATGTGTCCTCACATTTGACTCATAAATGATAGAGTGCACAACAGCTTTCAAAATGAATTTCTCATTTCATCCACTTGATGGTTCTGGAATGCAACAGTACTAAACGGTCATATGGCTACTACCCACATAAAGGTAAAATATTTATCATAGTAGAGGTATAAAATCAAACGCCTGTGCTCAAAACTTAGCTTTACCCTTCGCCAAGTTTGTGGCAGTAAGTATGTTATACTTGACATCTATAAATACTCTTTTCTTCTTCAGTTAAATGTGAAATTATAGCAGCTAATTTAAAGGATTATTGTAAGTATTATATAAGTTAGTACAGTAAAAGCATATAGGTAAGCTGATAATTCATTCTGGTTTTTCGTAGCCTCTTTATGGCCAATTACATTAAGCTCCTATGAAATATATCCACACCAATTAAGAAAGGACCCAGCCAGCAAAAGAAACTTATGATAAAGAATCATTGATTTACAAAGAATATTGACTTATGATACAGAATTGGTGATGTACTTATAGATTGCTTAAACTCAACTGTTTTCAAATATTGATACTCTGATTAATTTATCATATTTCCTGTCTTCTAGACACTTCATTGTCAACAAAGAAGGATAAGATACAAAATTTATCTAATCTATTTCATCCTTGAATCTCTGTTTTTAAATCACCATTGTTATCAGCTTATTGCAATACACTTTACCATAGTCCGTAGCTTGAGAAAGAAGATATAAGCATAAGCATATATCTTAAAATATTGCAATTGCAATCTTAATATAGAGAACAATGCTGCATATCTTTTATCATTGCTATTATAAGAACTTCTTTGTGGGATTTCTTTGACATTATCATATGTAACAGAAAATTCAGTCACAGAATTTAGAGATGGACATAGAATTTAGAAAAAATCTAATTATATTCTTTCAGATAACAATTTAGCCATGTTTGGGGGGAAATATCCAAAAATTAATCAGAGGATAGCTTAAATGCACTATTTTTCTTGATTATTGCTTTTTTTCGCCCTTTTTACCTTTCTTTGCCTGATTCACCATAGGCTAATCATTGCACTTAATAACCATCTGCTCATCCCAGCTTGCCTCTCCAAGTACCCCAGGTGGTATAGGTCTCTTCTCTGACAAAAATATAAGCTGATAAAACTTATTTTTTATGATACTATCTTTAAGAGTAGCTTCACTAATAGTCCATCTAGCTGTATTTTTATACCTCTGTTTATCCTCCAGGGGGAGCACAACTTTCACGTTTGATGTAAACCTTTTTTCGAAAAGGGAAGTCAGTTTATGCTTTGAAGAGTTCTCATAGATCACCAATTCTTTAATTTTACAGAAAAGAGCACTGTGTCTTAAATAATCTACAGATGTCATTACACATTAACCAGAAAAAGATCTGGGTGAGATCGCTCATTTTCTACCCGACCACACTCAATAGTTTTCATTTTGAACATAGTTGCTAAGGTACTTTCAAAAGCACAGCTAGATGAAAGTATAAATAAATTAAACAATTAGTTTCATATTGAAAACAGAAATTGTTATCCATAATACCATTCCATACAAATATTTCCTTTCTTGCCATTTTTTTTTACATTAAGTCCTTTTTGAGTATGGAAAAAGCACACAAACTTTGGCTTCTTTAGTAATAAAAAAAAAAGGCTCTGGAAATTAAACACTAAGTAATGTTTCACTCACCAAAGCAATTTAAGAATCTCAGGGGCTCAGTAATAATACTTGTAATAGCATGCACAAAGACCTGAGTCACATCTGAGCATGGTGAAAAAGCATCTTATTTGATTTTAGAAAAATAAAAAAAAAAATTAAAGAGTGTTCATGGGCCTATTTGACCAGGCACATCTCTGCACAAACATCTCCAAAACTGACATTTCTTGTTAGCCCTAATTCTTTGACTGTATAAAATGATGTAGCATTGAAAACCTTATAGTTGTTTCCATCTCAACCATGAATTTCTTTGCACAATATAAATGGAAGAAACCACCTGCTTCTCCCTGACCAGGCTCTGGGCAGGCTCAGGGAAATGAAGGCAGCCTTGGAAGCTGGGCAGATGGGAAGATAAATCATGGGGACAAATATAAGAGATGAGAAGTCTGCATCCTAACACAATCTTACCTGATGGACAGCATTTGGACATTTTTTCGGACTTTCCAAAACAGCAGATTGAGATTCTAGATTGAAAAGGAAGAGTTGGTCAATATCTTAATGAACACATGTTCTCATTTCCTTAGTCAAAAAGTAAAACTTCAGTGAAAGATATCTTTAACAATCAATCATTTAAAAACATGTCTCTCTGCTAACTGTATTAATCCATTATGAAAATGTGATGAGTTTTTGGAATATATCTAACATACCTGAAATGACATTCATGTCATTAGTTATTTTAAAATCTGGAATAGCCATATGCGCTTCTCTGCACTTCAACCACAATAATTTTTCTCGATTGCTCATTTCTGTATTGTGCCAGCAAATCCCTAAGACTTCAATTTATTATTCACTAAAGTGTGTACATGATGGGAACCACTTCAATCTTGAAGGATGGGATTTCAAAAAAGCCTTAACTATTGACAAATTACCTTTGATTTCAATGAGATAATGAACAGTGTCACCAAGATGGGATTCTGAAGGGATTCTGCATCTTCAGTCTTTTTGTCATTTGACATTCTAAGAGTCAACAAATTCATCATGCTAGAAAACCTGAGGAATAACCAAGTCTGGGCTTTCTGTTGTTGTTTGTTGTTTGCTTCTTGTTTTGTTTAAGCTAAAGGGTACTTTCTGTTAAGTGAAGCTTATATGCAAATGTAAAAACATAAAAATAAAAGGGATTTCAGGAATTCCCAGTGCTCCATGGATCACAGTCTGCAAGTCATTAGTCTCTTTCACCATCTGTGTTTTAGAAAGAAGCCCATGGCCAGTAACACAGGCAGGTGGTGACAAAATAAGGCTGGAGGTTTGTCTCCTTGCTCAGCTGTCGTCAGACACTAAAAATGGCATAGCAGTCACTGTTCATATCATTTGCACATTCCCAATCTAACGGAGTTGTGACTGATGCACATGACAATACTACAGAAAAACAAACTGCACAACATCACTGTTCAGCCACACTGAAAGTTTTCATTCTAATCAGATGAATGTCACAGTCTGGACACAGGCCAACAGTTCCTCCTGTTCACACTTCCTAATCTCTCTAATGATCTGTGCCTTTCCCCACTGTGCTCCAAACCACCCTGGTGTACTTCTCACCTGCTAGTATACCAACCCTGCCCCCCACAGGGCCTCCAAAGCCATAGTGGCTATTGTCCCAGCCACAAAACTCATTCTCCTTCCTGATCTCTGTGTGACCCCTTCCTTGGCTCCTTCTCTCAGGACTTTGCTCTGGCTCCTCTGGACACTCTGTTTGATTTTTTATTCTTTTCTTTTTTGTGATGCTAGGGTCTTGCACATATTAGGCAAGATGAGCATTTTATTTAAAGAACCATCCTCACACCTTCCCAGTTCTTAATTTCTCCATGGCACAGTATGTATTCCATAATTCACTTGTTTGCCTACTTTTTATCATTTCTCTTAATCCATGTTACAGTTTGGATCTAGACTGTCCCCCGAAGACTCACGTGCTAATGGTTTGGTCCCAGCCAGTGGTGTCACTGGAAAGTGGTGGAAACTCTAGGAAGCAGGTGAGGTGGAGAAGGTAGGTCACTGTGGGCATGCCCTCCAGAGGATAATAGGACCCAGTACCCCTTCTCTTACTCGCTCTGCCTCCCACCAACATGAGGTAAGTGGCTTTGTTCAACCAGGTGCTCCCATCATGGGTACTCTGCCTCACCACAGCCCCAGAACCAATGGAGCCAGTGACCATGAAGTGAAACCTCTGAAACCATGAGCAAAAAAAAGTCATTCTCCCTTTAAATTGATTTTCTCATGTATTTTGTCACAATAACAGAAAGCTGGCTAACACTCCACCAGAACACAACTGTTTTCCCCTGTTGTATCCCCAATATCTAGAATAGTACCTGGAAAATAGTGGGTACTTAAAATATATATTGAATAATTATAGGAATAAATGAAACATCAAATTTTGTTAAGCCAAGAAACTTGGGACTACCATGAAAAATGGAGTGAAGTGGTTAGAGAAACAGAGCGAAGATTTTATGACAACCAGTATAGATACTACCCTGCCTTTAGCTACTTCCTGAATTTCAGCTAAGAGTGTATCTTTCAAAACAAAAATCACTGAGAATACCATGCAGTCACCAACAGATGTCAGAATTATTGGCCTTAAAATACAACCATTTTCCCAGACAACACTGCATTTAATTGCACTCATCAAAAAGGAATTCTTCTGTCTACTAAGAACTTAGTACCAGAGTTAGGTAAATCTGAATAGAGATTTTTAACATCATAGCTAGTCAACAGTTAATAAAGCAAATTTTACATCCAGAACACTCCTGCTTTCTACTGTTTTTCATCACTTCCAAATCCTTCTAAATGACAAACTCAAGACAAGTGCTGGCTTGACACACATAAAGGAAGTTTCTCTTCCTGGTCTTTCAATTTAGACACTGCAGTAGAGCCAACTGGTTTCCTAGCAACACACTAATAGTTCTGTCCATCAGAAATGCATGCAATGCTTCCTGCCTTTTGTTTTGTAGTCCTTGACCTGGTGACCTGTCCAAAAGAGCAAGCTTATGGATTTTGATGGTCAATAAGAAAAAGGGCAGCTAGCTAGAACAATGTTAGAAAACAATATTTACTAGAAAATTGTCAGCCAAGTATTCTGAACCCCCACACCCAAGTTCTCAGCTTTCCTCTTTCTGGGAATTAGACATTAGACAAATTAGACAAATTAGACAATTAGACATCTTAGGTATTTATATACTGCTGAATTCTTTTCAAGTACAATTGTGTGTTATGATTCATTCAGCCAGAAAATAAGCACATTGTTTTCAGGATTTCCACAGAAAGTTTTTCTGCCACATTTCTTCCAGATCTCCTTCCAATATGTGTGAATATACATGTTGTGCATGTGTGTGTGTATATGTGTGTGTGTGTGTATTATTTATAGTATGTCTAATTATAATGTTTTTTTTTCCTTCTAGGACTTTCTGTACCTAGATCATTTTTCTAAAATCAGTCCTCTGCTATCTGGGACATTCACATTTTCACTGAAGAGTAAGGGACTTGACTTTTCACAGATGAAATCAGAATGACCAAGACTCTATTTGTGTCTACATACTTTGCTTCTGTCCTCCATAAATTTGAAAACTCAAGTTAATTAACTCTTTGATTTTGTGTAAATCAATTGAATGACTTTAGAAATTTGGTATTTGAGGCCCTAAAGTTGTCCAGGAACTGTTTCAGGACACTCACAAAAACACTCCCTCCAATCTTACATTCATGTGCTGAGATGATATTTTGTTTATTTAGATCTTTTGCCAACAAAATTCTTCATTTATTCACTCAGATGTTTAAGAATATACTACATGCCAAAAGGTCTTCAAATGCAGGGCATCTACAGGAAGATGTACATATAAACAGACAAATTATAATACATAAATAATTCAAATGATACAGACATGAATAAAATGTCATAGGACTCCAGAAATGAAAACAATCATGGGTGAGTGGTTGGCTGGATGCATCATATATGTAAGAGAGAGACAATGAAGAGAAAACAAGACAAATGGAATGCTGTCTTCTTATCAATGCCTTCATCACCAATAGCAATGGAGCACATCACTTCCTAAGTCACCAGCCTCTTGTCATACATTCTATAGACTTCCAAAGGTCAGTTTATCCACCGTAGGCCCATCTGCAAAGACAATATCAACTAGCCATGGAGCCAGGAGGGAGGCAAAGGATCTACAGGTAGCTGTGGCCCTTATGCATCTCACTGGTGAGAAGAAGCATGCAGCAAGACTGCACCTTGGCCTCAGCACTTCATATTCATATAAGGAAGGCTCAGCACTTTCTAAAATACATGAAGGTGGAGACAATATAGTATAGAGAGGATCATGGGAAAACAACAAAGAAATACATGGGAAAGGGAGAAGAAGCAGTACCACAAGTCTGAATTAGCTGAACATGTGAATTAGTAAGCAATTTCTTAAAAGAACTGGAAGAAAAAAGAGGGGGGAGAAGGTTCTTGATTTTCTAAGATAGACTTCAAGAAAAAAAGACATTAAGCTTTTTTGCTTTCAATTAAAATTGCCACTTACTGCAATTACTGGTTTTAACTATGCCGTGACTACACCATAATGCATGGCAATCAGTTAAGTACAAGCAAATACCTTACTACTAACAATTACCTTATCATTGGTCACATTAATATAAAACAACATTAGAGTCCATGCAAGGCTTTTTTTGTAATACTGGCATTGTCACTTTTATACAACTGACTTTCTGAGGAGAGGAAAAGAGGTGGTATGAGTCCTTGAGAATGATAGTGTTCCATAAAAGTGTCTTCTCAAACAAATGCCATGGAATAACAGCAAGAAAAGTCCACTTTAAACAAAAGAATATTCTATAGCTATTGCTATCAACTAGAGAAAAACGAACCACCAACTTAAATTACTCCATCATCCCCTTCAAGAAAGCATATTTTAAAAGGAGAAAAGTTATTATATTTTAAATTGCTTACTCTGCATTTTATAAACTATGCTAAATAATGAAGAAAAAATAAGTTATAAATTTTCAGTATCAAGTCCAACTACCATCCTCAAACTGTAATTCAGATGACCATTGTCAGTCAACTCTCAATCAAGTGCTCCTCTAGTATGCCTAACCAGTAACAGAAAATGTTCTATAACTTTTTTAAAGTACCCTAAAATTTTAGAGTACAATATAGCTATTTCAAGTAGAAAACTTGAGAAAGACACAGTAGAGATGAGAAAAAACATCAAAGTATCACCCTAATCAATGATACAAACACAGCATAGGAATAATTGTTAAAAGGGCTCTCAAAAAATTGGTTAATAGTACTACATCTATACCTATCAATTTCTGAATAAAATTTTAATGTAAACAAATAGAACAGTAAATAGTTATACTGTTATAACAGTATATAGTGGGATCAATGTTTTTAGTTGTGTTCTTTTTCTTTTAAAACTAAAATTGTTGTTATAATGGTGCTCTCATGTTAGAACCCTCTCAGCTCTGAAGATCTATGCATCAAGGTACACTACTTCATCCCTCGATCAACAGACCTCTGTTTTTTGATAAACAGTCTTACATGGAACAAACTTTCTACATCCTATCTTTCATTTGTGGTTCATTCATGGAGTCTATCCCACCTAATGAATAGTAAGCAGTGTTTCAAAACCACTCAACATTTTAAAAGGGATATACAGAATTAAATGTAGGCCCCAATTCAGTGCCCTAGTGGAAAGAAAGTGTAAATACATCTGTCCCCAGAGACTGGGATGGAAACAGGAGAGTGGGTTCCCTTTGCAAAACTTCAGGCAAGGGCCTGGAACACCTTTGACACTGTGACTCATGACCAAGATAATGACATGAAATAATTTTAATAATAACAGCACACACACTGAGCCAGACACCGCATTCTGTATTCTAAGGCTTTACATGAACTCATGCAATCCTCATTATCATTTTATAGATGAGGAAACAAGTACAGAAGCTGGAAAATTTGCCCAAGAATACAAAGCTGATCATGTACAAAGCCCAAATTCCATGTTCTTATGATATGCTTTTTTACTACTGGATCCAAATGAAGTCTCTAACGGCTATCTTTTGTTATTGAGTCAGTGAGATGGTCAAAATTCTCAACTCTAAAACTTGTGCTAACATTTAGGAAAATCTGGTGTAGAAAAATCTGTGAATAGCAACGATGCCCTTCTACTTACTCTTAACTTCTACAAGAGAAGTCAATATTTATGCCTGGTCAGCCCACCAAGAGGAAGTTGGGCATTTTTTAGGTTAAAGTGGAGAAAAAATAAGGGATACAACAATCAAATTCCATGAGGCATTCTAACACAAATATGACTGTCAATGCTGTATGATTCCCTAGATTCTGGTTGGAAGTCATCCTTCTACTGAACATCTCCAAGTGACATTGATGTTTCTTCCCAACCAATAACACAAATAAGAGAAACAGAGAAAATTTTTAAAAAATGTAACGAATAAGAATTACATCTGAATGCTGTCCAAATTTTTAATTATTTAAAACTCAGATTTAATAAAAGCCGTATTTCTATTTTACTTTTGCCAGTTATCTCTATGGCAAAGAAAATAAGAAAAGCACAAAGAAAGCAGAAAGTGAGGCAGTTCGGAGAAAAGAGGGCCATAGGCAGGAATGGCACTTGGGGGCCTTCAAGATTCCAGCTTGATGTCTGTAGGTAGTGGCTCTCAAATTTAGTACATACAGTAAGTACTGGAGAATTCCGTGTCCTGTTCTCCTACATTCTTACTCAGCAGTCTTGAACACAAGCATAAGAATCTCCAATTTCACAGGTTTCCCAACGATTACAACTGGGATACCTGCAAACTCACTTCTGAGTAAGCATTGCAATAACATGTTACATTTCACACTCTCAGAGCACTCTTGTCCCATGTCCTACCTGTTTCAGCATCCTTGGGCCTGTGTTCTTCATCAGGAGGTCTTGATGGTGGCCACATGGATGGAGCTCGCCTAGGAAACTGCCCTTCTGTGTAATCCAGCGAGTGTGTGGGTTGACTAACTGCAGCCCAGGTATAAAGTTGATCTTGCTATATTTAAAAATAAAACAATTGTAAATGTTATTAATTCAATCATAAAAATGGGTTTTGACTGATATATTGCAAAATCATTTCTGGTATCCACATATAAAATATTAAAATAGCACTTATATACTATCAATATGAATCTCTAAGATACAACTCTCATCTCATAACCATACTTATCTCAACTTCTCCTCTGTAGTAAAATCTAAGTCTCTTTCTTTGGAGGAAGACAGGCTACATAGGCCTGCTGAGAGTTATTATAAGGTGAGACAGTCCAGTCACTGAATTAAAGAACTATCTGAACTAGCAGCATTTTCTGCCAATTTGAATGTGATGTCCTTTTTCTTTCCATTTTTTTTTTTGTCTTATCAGACAGGGTCTCCCTAAATTGCACAGGTTGGCCTCAACTCCTGAATTCAAGTGATCCTCCTATCCCAGCTCCTCAGTAGCTGAACTACAGGCATAGGCATAGGTCACTATCCTCAGCTGACGCCCCTTTAAAAACATGAAGTAAAGCCAGAGCACAGCCTGAACTTGGTCACCACAGGAGTGATAATGGCTTCTTTCTTCTACAACAAAAGGCCAAAGAAGCCAACAAGGTTGGAAACTGTTTGAGAGAGAAACCATGAAAAAGTAAATGAACCTGCCAAGAATAAGAGAATTATACAGAGATCTTCTGGCAAAGAGAGGCTTTTCCAGTTGCAGGCCAACAAACCTGGACAAAAAGAGAAGGCTCCTAACTGCGTCCAATGCCTGCCGGGAGACAAGGTGGACACCGCATGGCGGAGGGCAGCTGGAGGCCTCTCGTACCTCTGAAGACTGCACATTAGGACTCCAGGAAGGCAGCAAGCTTGGTCATTTTAGTATGCACATACTCAAAACATGTGAGCCCTATTCCCGTGTGATGTTTGCCTTGCTCAGGGACACTGCCATAACATTAAAGCAAGGAGAAAAACAGTATAGAAGGGATGAATGCAAAGTATTTAAAAATTTTAAAAACACTGTGATCACCAGTGTGAGTCCATAAACTAAACGAGTTAACTGATAAATGTTGCCATTTCTCTAACTTATTTCATAAATTAAGAAATTCAGCTGGGAAGATGGTGCATGCCTGTAATCCCAGCTCTCATGAGATAGAAGCAAGAGGATAATGAGTCCAGTACATAGAAAGATCCTGTCTTAAAAAAAAAAAGGGGTAATTACTGGTCACAAAAAAAAGAAATTCAAAGTAGTCTTTAATATCAAGAGATACAACATACAGATCAATTAATTTATGTTCAGTTGTTGGGCCTCATTGAGAATTCAATTGCTGTATCAGCTAGGCTTGCATCAGAAAGGGCCACATTTCCAATCTGACTAAGCATTTCAGCTATTCATACCTCTTTCAGTTACTCTTTATTTTTTTGAAGGGACTAGGGTTTGGTCTCAGACCTTCATGCTTGCAAAGCAGGGACTCTACTGCTTGAGCAATACTTCTAGTCCATTTTGCTCTGCTTATTTTGGAGATGGGGTCTCGTGAACTATTTCCCCACAATGACCTCAAACCTTGGCCCTCCAGATCTCAGCATCCCACACAGCCTGGATTATAGGCATGAGTTTCAGTTACTCATATCTCAGTCAACACCAGAAGCTTAACTGTTTAGCACACTAAATATCAGCAACAGCTTTTCATTGATGAAATGAGAGGCTCATTTCATTAACATGGTAAATGTTAAACATGAGCTCTTATTGGAAAAACTGAAAGGAATTCAATGTAAGAGGAATGGTGAAAACATCAGAGAAGATCTCCATACTTGGAAAAGATAAGACTCAGGAAAGGGACAGGTGAGATACCATGATTGCACTGATATGTGCTAGTTGAAGAGGGTATCTCCTTGCTGTTACCCATAATTTTTGTCTGTATTACATGAGTCTTTCATGTATGGTGTGGTCAAACACCTACCCAGAGCAAGTTCAGCATGCTCTGACCTCTCAGGAGGGACTACATAGACTCTCATGCACATTAATGTCATGTGTTTGACAGAATTTCATTTGAGATTTGCTTTCATTAAAACTCAGTTAACCCTTTTACCATATACAAAAATTAAATTCAAAATGGATCAAAGATCAAAATGTAACCTCTGTCTAAAACTTTTAAAAGAAAACAGGAGAAAAGCTTTATGAAATCATTTGCCAATGATTTCTTAATTATGATGACAGAAGCACAGGCAACAAAAGTAAAAATCAATGAACTGGACTATATTAAAATTTAAAATTTCTGTACAAAAGACATAGTAAACAGTGAAAAAGCAAACCATGGAAAAGGAGAAAATATTTGTTAATTATATCTGGTAAGGATCTGTTATGTAGAATATATAAAGAAATCCTTCATGTCAACAAAACAAATAGTCCAATTAAAAGTGGGCAAAGGACTTACACAGACATTATTCCTATGAAGATACATAAAAGCCAACAAATACATGAGAAAATCACAAATCAGTACAATACAAATTATAGTCCCAGTTATTCAGGAGGCTGAGATGGGAAGATTTCTTGAACTCAGGAGTTCAAGACCAGCCTGGCTAACATAGCAACATCCCCATCTCAAAAACAACAAGTGGACAACAACAAAAACACCTCATTTAAAACCCACTCGATCTCAGTTTGCTCTAATGTGGGGTTTCATCATTCAACAAAATACAAAGTATGCTAAAAATACTCCATAAAACCTCATAGAAAAAAAAGTGTTTAGTTGGTCTCTCGATCATTCACCACTCTTCAGGATTATAATACACTAGTAAGTCATTACTAGACAACTAGTAAGTTGTCTCTTGTTCAAAGCGAGCACAACATAAATTTCTGCAGTGGCTCCCCAATGTGTATAGAATCAAATTCCAAGTCTTTGACTTAACTATGACAAACTTTCCTATATTCCTTTCAACACTGCCCCACTTTTCTTCTCCACATTTCCTAAGTCAAGCTCCATTCTGATGGAGTGCCCTCTCCAGTCCTCCTCATCCAGAGAAACTAATCAGTCATTAAAAATCTAGCTGAAGTCCCAGCTCACCTGGATCACTCCTAAATCAACACACCTGCCACCCCACTCTTTGGACATGCAATGGTGTGCTATCCTGCTTAGTCCTGTGTGTGTATCATCTTTCTGCATACTGACTAACAGCTTCTTCAAGATGAGAATATACACAGGTCTCATACATCTCCCCAGCCCTTGACAGTTCTATGATAACTGTCAGATCCACTTATGCCCACTGGACATGTGTTGGATAAAAAGATGTCAATGGCTATAGCTAGTAACCTCATTTTCCTCATTTCCTTAATAAGGTACCAAAAGGGCACTTAGTGAGTATCATATGGAAAACAAAGATAACAAGTTATATTGCATCTGAACCTATCGGTAATTAATAGGAGTGATGGTATATACCTGTAATCTCAACACTAGGGAGAGGATCATGTGTTTGAGGCCAGCCTGGGCTATGTAGCAACACAATCACAGAATGGGAGAAAATCTTTGCCAAATATTTATCAGATAAAGGATTAATATCTTGAATATAAAAAGAGCTAAAAAATCAAACACCAAATGGACAAATAATTCAATTAATAGATGAGCAAAAAAATTCACACTTCTCATAAGAACAAATGGTCAATACATGAATAAGTGTTTAATATCCTAAACTATAAAGGAAGTGTAAATCAAAACTACATTGAGATTTTATCTCATCCCAGTAAGAATGTCAATACACGTGTAACGTACTTCGATGCTCTTCATCATCCCAGTACCCGCTCCTTTCCCCGCTCCCGCCCACTGATTCCCCCAGTCCTGCTTCTGTACTCAGGCCCTATTGTTATTATTATTATTGTTATTAGCAAAAATGAGATATTTGGCTTCTTGAGCTTGACTTATTTCACTCAAAATGATAATCTCCAGTTCCACCCATTTTCCTGCAAATGGCATAATTTCACTCTTCTTTATGTTTGAATAATACTCTGTGTGTGAATGTGTGTGTGTGTGTGTGTGTGTGCATGGACGCACATAATACATTTTCTTTCATTCATCAGTTGTTGGGCAGCTAGGCTGATTCCACAGCTTGGCTATGCTTTTGTGAATAGTGTTGTGATTAAACCAGGGTGTGCAGGTGTCTCTCTTGTATGCCCAAGAGTGATACAGCAGGGTCATAAAATAGGTCTATTTTTAGTTTTTTTAAGGATCCTCCATAATGATTTCCATAGTGGTTCCACTAATTCACATCCCCACCAGCAGTGTGTGAGGATGATTTTTCTCCTGTATCCTTGCCAGCTCTTGTTTGTTTTCTTGATTGTCATTCTGACTGGGGTGAGGTGGAGTCTCAGAGTAGTTATGATTTGCCACTCTCCTGCTTTGAGGGACACATTAGTAATGGAGCTGGCATACCCATCTGTGAGGGTGGACCGATGGACCCATATTTAAGTCGTGAAAAAAACTATATGCTAGACACTCCAGGAACTATATAATCTCCCACCAAATTAGCAAAAGTTTGCATGAAGGAAAATAGTATAAAACTTGGCCTCAATTACAGTTCAGTGATTTTTTTCATATACCCCTAAAACTCTGCCCCTGGATGCACAGGTAAACTCTATCTTAGGCGCAGGAACTCTATCAAAAAAAGAGCATCTTCTGCCCACCTGTGCCTGTAAGAAACAAGCCTGCTGAAATGTCTACCCTGATACCTCCTACTTCTTGTACGACATCTCTGAAGATAAACTCACTACTAGTGTTAGCATTTCCATCCTGCCTGAAGAATTACAGAGTTAGGGAATATTCTGAGTTTGTTGTTTTTTCTTAAGAACAACATGAATTGATCAGATTTGCTTTTCTTGGCTATTAGAAAGCTTGACATAGAACACAGCCCACTTGCCACCTGGTCTGGGGTTCCAGAATATGATTTTGGTTAGTCTCATTCCTGGCTCCACTTTATGTTCCACTTCAGTTTTGTTTTCTTTTCACTTTTTTCAACCTTTTCAATGATAGTACA